GGGTTTGGTCCAACACTATTACTGTTACTGTTAGCATCAAAGGTAGTTTTATGATTGGCAATTAATTTACTGCTCTTTCTAACAAAGATGATGAACAGAAAAGATTAAAAACATTGACAGATATGAAAACCCTGGCCCCTCAGCAAAACTCTGCCATGGGGTCTCTTTCCAGAACACAACCTCTAAAATGCTCTCATCCTGTTCTTTAGGCAAATTATTGGTTCACAAGTCTGTTAATGCTCTATGACACTTCTTGAGGCAGGCACTGTGTCTTATTCTCTCTATAGTCACAAACCCTGGTTCATGGGAGGTGCTCATGAAATGTTTGATGGATGAATGAATGAATGAGTGAATGCAATCAATAGCATCTTGGTTCTAATGATATGCTAGACATTCTGGGTGTCGTGTAAATCTTGAAATACTTAGGCCTTGTATCGAGGAAATCCCATTTTATATTTCTACTTGTGTTGGCCTAATAGGGCATCTCATTAAGGCCCTACTTTAAATCTGTATCTTTTTTTCCCCTGAGTGTTTATTTTCTGGATTATGAGGTTTTGAGTTCTTTAGTAGAAAAGTACCGTGTGTATTCTAAGGGGTAACTGCTGATGACTTTTCGTGGTTGAGATTTTTTAATTAGTCTGGAAAATACTCCCAACAACTCTGCCCTGATAATATGAGGACATGAGTTTTATTTCCAAATCCTCCCTCTCTGAAGGGCGTTTTCATTAATGAGGAAAGTGTAGGCAGCTCGATATCCTCAGTCTTTGTTCCCAGATACCATGAATTAAGGAGAAATCAAAATGCTTTTCCATTACACTTGAATTAAGAACTATTTATTAACTCCATGGAGACTTGTCATAATACAGAAGTTCTTTTTTTATTCCTAGATGATCTTATTTTCACTGAAAGCATAAATTTGAAATACCCCATTATAGGATGGGGTTGACAGGATAAAGAACAACTTTTTAGACCATGTCCTAAAATTAGCTATATTACAGCTAACTATACTTCATCTGTGTGGAGATCATTGGAATTCATGGTGATTTCCCCCCTCCCGGTTCACAGTCATTGATTACTAAAGCTAGAGGTCATAGGTCCAGTTCTTTTATTTTGTCAAAACTGAGGCCAGAGATAAAGGGATTTTCAGCAGAGCAAAATCGTTTTGATCTTTTCCAACAGTGAACATTATAAAACAAAACAATAATAGAACAGGCTAACAAATAGCAAAAGGGTCCCATTTTTGTTTTATCTCCCTCTGTAATTTCTTTGCCTCATTTCAACTCTCTTGCTGCAGTGAAAAGCTCAAAAGATGAGCAAAAAGAGGAAAGAAGGGGTGAAATAAAAACTGGGTTATTGATTCCTGAAAAATTGAAACTTGTATACAGTAGATAACTTTCACAAGCCCCACGAGAACATCAGGTTCGTGGCATATTGTGACTACTCGTTATGCTTGTTTTTAGATATAACGTCCGTCGAGTGGGTAATTGCTCAGGGGTTTGCCTTTCATAGACTAGTAAGAAGGCTCTGGAGCTTACCCAACAAGTTGGCAGAGTGTTCCTTTCCTCTCTGGTGCCATCTGGGTCTAAAGTGGAAGGGGTGGAGAAGGGACAGCCAAGGCTGCCGGCGATCATGGCAATGGGTCAGGGTCCCGCACCTGCTCTTCTGCATGGGCTCCCTCAACCTTAACAGGTGTTTGTCACCCAAAACTCCAAGTCTCTATTTAGAAACTTTCACCCAACTTGAGAAAAGACGAGCTGCTTGCAGCAGTTTTTTTTTTTTTTCTTAATTCATTCAACAAATATTTACTGAGAATCTACTGTGTATAGAGATTGGGCCTACACAGAAAGATGAGCAAGACCCACCATTCTTCTCAAGGAGCTGCTAATCAAGGGCTTTTACCTCCTGAGGGAAGGGCCCTTTGATGGTATAAAACCTGCTTGCGCCCCCTGTCGCCATGCTTTAGACCCATCACTCTGTCCTAGTAAAGGACAACAATTAGTGGTCACAGATGTTAATGAGTAAACTGGAAGTGTCAACTACCCACATATCTTGTTTACTTTCTAAGTGCTGTGTTTTAACATTACCTCATAAATACCGGGTCGTATAATAATAATGTATTATTAACTTCACAAAACTCATCTTTTCCAGCCAGATGTAGACATTTTGAAAAACACAGGCTATTTTAAAGTCCTGCAAATAATCCCAGGTGATTAATAATATGATTTGACAATGTAGCAAAGAACACTGATTTAATTGCTTTTTATCTCAATATCTCACTAGGAAGGAAAAACTTGTCAAATTAGACTGTTGTAGCCTGATACTATCTTAATGTAAATTAACAGTAAACATTTGAAAACAACAGAAGAGATAAAAAAAATTTTTTAAGCTTGGGTAATTGAATCCTGATTCAAAATGGTATTTAGCCCTAGAATGTAATATACTACCTACTGCTCAGTCTATTATCTATCATTATCTTTTAAAACCTGTAATTGGACAAACAGGAAGCTATTCATAATAATAAGTTTGTTCAAGATCGTCTGTTTGCTGGAGTCTGGGGTGCACACTGCAGTCATATTGAACTGAAGGAAACTGCTTACTTTATCCTTTCCATTGTTTGTTCGTCTCTGTTTCCACAGAGTACAGCAACACTACACACCTGGGCAGTCCAAAACATCTTACCGAAATTCCTGAAAAAACAGTCATTTTTCCTGCAATCCATGGATGGGCAACACGAATCTTATTTGCTGCAAGACGGGGCCGCCACTGAACCTGACCCATCCCCTGCCTGCTGTGCATGCACATAACTGCTTAACACAGAACCAGGCAGACAGTTTGCCTCCTGGAATTTCCATTAGACCCAACCACTTAGTTGCTTTATTTATCCTATCACTGGTTTTATTTTTCAGTGATTCTTTGGCAGTTATGTTCCTTCTATCAGAGCTATTCAAACCTCAGGTTGCATAGGGCTTCTTCTAAGAGATTTAAACGGAAAGACAACACGAGCCATTATTGGTCTATTTTCAGTTTTCATTATCAATAAAACAAGAGATCAGCATTTTCACGCTGTGTGAAGCCTTCAGGGAAGTGCAATGTTGCTGTCATTATCTTTAGATCAAGCTGCTGCCTGCCCCCACTAATGCAGACAGAATGATGAGTCCATCGAAATGAAAATAAAGTAATGAAAGGATCAGAGTCCTAGAGTGGGCTGCTGACCTGGTCTGCTCCGTGGCTCCTGAAAACGTCCCTTTGAATTTAGCGGAGCCTGGATGGTAAAGACCACAGATCATGACAGAACATAAATTCACCTCATAATGAGATTAGTAGGCAGGCAAAATAAATGTCCTGCTGTTACATTAGAGGCAGGCTCTAATCTGGTGTTTTCCTTGGAAATAATCATTTCCTTTGCAACAGGGGAAGTGTGGATGCAACTAGCTTAAATCTGACAGATTTTGTTTTGCCATGTTGTTATTTTTCGTCTTCCTCCGTCTTTTTAATAGCAGTTTTGTGGAGGGGTATAAATGAGTTGTGAGTCTTAAAGACTATTACCACAGTGAGTTATGGGCGTCTAAGTTCATGATCATCAATTGTGTTTCCCAGACTCCCCTTTTAAGAAAAGTTCTGTACAACTCCCTCCCCCTTCCAAACAGGAGCCCTGCTGTGGAGGAGGTGTTGTGACCTCCAGGGTCCTCTCACTTCAGCCTTAAGGATCAAAGGCAGAATAGACTCACTATTGTATTTGGGTATTTTTTTTTTCAATCTTTACTGCAACTCTACTACTTAAAACCACTGGAAGCAAGTATCACATACTAAAGAGCCTTAAGAAAATGCCCAGATCAGGTGAACCCACATGGTATCTGAGTAGAACAAAGGTCTTGAGTATGTCGCTTGATTGCAAGGGACTTCCTTGGTTTTCAGCAGCAGGCAATCTCACCTGCAGTACAATGCCCTCCTCTCATTAAAAATGCAAGATAGGATCTCCTCCTGGATCCTTTCTACAGAACCTGATGCAAGTTCATGGGCTGCACCGTCCTTAGCAGTGAGTGGCATTTAATCAAAGCCTTCTGTGAAATAATCTCAGAGTTTCCCCAGTCGTGTAAAGTCACCAAGCGAGTTAAGAGGTCCTTTCAAAAGGAATGGGAGATTAGACTCTGAATTTAAGAGTATTTGAAGCTTCTGCATAGAAAGCACAGACAATTCAATGTACACCTATTTACTCTACATTTTCTAGGGCCCAGGCTAGAGACTCCTCACTTCTCTGTGCAACTGCCCATTAGGAATAGATCATTCGATAGTACCCCAATTCATGGGATTTTGATGTATTGTTTTTCTTAGGCTGGGAAGAAACCACAGAAGTCTTTTGTATTTGCATATGCATTTTACAGTCTATGCAGTGGTTTATGAACATTATTTCATCTAATGAAAGAGTTCCCTTTCTGCCATTGGTGCTTCTACAAAAAACTTGAACTGCAAATCCAGTTACTTTAGGGAGAAATTATTTTTGAGCCCAATTTAACAAGTTTTCTCTTTCAACTTTCCCCTTCTCGATAACCTGAGTTGTGTCTCTACTTGTGTAGTTTCTACGTATTTAATTTGCAAATGTCAAAGAATTTAAAGTGAGTTCTCCTCCCACTCTCATAATTTTCTCTACTCTCTGTTAACTCGATCCTCATCAGATGAAATAGTTCAAGGGACGATAGACTAATTTTCCATGAAGTAGGTGGTCCTATGTTTATTGGTATTCTCCACCAACTTATCTTTTTCCTTTCCGTAACTCTTTCTTCCTGGTCCCACCATATCTGTCCCCCACTCCCCACTACACCTCCGTGTTTATAATTTAAATTGCAGATAGTAACTGAATCCACTTTGCCAAGTGCCCACTATATTTCGTATGCATTAATGATTATCTAATGGCATCTCATGTGTTAAACTCGCAGAGTTAATGTTAAAGATTCATATTGAATAATCTCCCTGAAGGAATTTCCCAAATTATGTTTGCTTACCTCATATAAATGAACTTGTTCTTGGGTTACAGCAAAGATCAATAACACGTTATTTTGCACCAGTTTATCAATGAGTTGTCCAATTGTTGGATATTCCTAAAATTAACATATAGATTAAGTATCATCTTAACAAAAGTATGTAAAATAAAGAAAGGAATATTTCTTTCAAAGAGATCTTACTAAGTTTGGCATTTCAATGCTCATAGGCATTATTTTGTCTATCACTCTAAGTAAACAAATACACAATTAGCATTATTCACTTAATTGGTTTAATAATTGTTTCCTAAATCCTGTAAATCCAATTAATTCTTAAGAGTCAGTGCCTGTCAGTGTGGTATATTATGCTCTGTCATGTCTAAGGAGATCATTTGAAATTTATTTAAAGACTTATAGTGTGTCATATTTTCGAGGGTAGAGACACAGTTCTTCTTCTAAGTACTTGCCAACAGGCTTGAGTTAGAGGGAATGTTAGAGTCGAAGGAGGAGCAGTTAGACTATAACAGAGGTGACTGGGCTGACTCTTGTGGCTCTGAAACTCTTACTGGAATTGGAGGAGGCAGAATGAGGGCTGAGGAAGGGACAGCCTGCTGAGGAATGACACACTACAATTCCCACATCCATCTGATTTGATTCATTTCTATACCAGTTCTTGGGTTTGGTCTTATTGCTTTTTTGATGTCACTAATCAGTTTTATGGGATCCTGCAATATTTTTACAGAACAATTGAAAGCACGTGCGCTTCTGTTCCATTGACATTCATTCTCAACTGATTTGAGTACTTTAAAAAATAAAGAAGTCATTAATTATCAAATTTGAAGATGGCCTTTACTCACCAAGCCTGAAAAACGTGTTATATAAATCCAAATGTGGGTGATATACAAAGATGAAATTCAAAAGAAAGAGTTGTTTTTGAACAATTAAATTATGAATATGTCAGTTACGTCTCAAGTCAGCCACTGTGGAGGAACACTGATCAATAAGCCCTCCTGTAGACTAATGTCGTGTGTTCACATACTCTCAGCATTTTGGGAGTATTTTTGTCTAATATCTTCTTTAGGCACAAGATTCAAGTTAAGGGAAAAGTATAGTTTTGCCTAAAATGTTTAGGGAAATGACCCAGCCGCAGATCTAGCTGTGTAATACATGCTTTCCACTCCATTTGGATTTTTATTCGTAGAGAGTAGTAGAATCCAGATAGTATAAATCTTCCTGAGTCTGCTGTTTTCAGTCTCCTCTGCTTTTCAGCTGCCCAAACACTAAGCATCTTCACTCTTAAGCCTGAATTCCTCCAGTGCTGGCCCCTCCTTATCACCACGTGTTCTCGCACCTTTCAACTGCTGTGCGTGTGTAGTCAGGATCACACCACATAGCCCTTCATAGGTGGGCAAGTATGGTTTTCTATCTGATGCAGATTGGTTGGTTTAATTCTCACGGTTATATTGTAAGTTCCTCAAGGCCAGGGACCATGTCCTATTGTTTTGCGGCCCCAGGAGCCTGGCCCAGTGTTGAGTGCTTAGGAAGAGCTCAGAGGACCCAGGGGTCACATAGACATGGAAATAGTCCATGGCTTCTGTGCGTTTGTAGCAGCTTACTCAGCAAGAATGAATTGAACATTTATTAGATGAGAAGGTCATATTAGGCAACAGGTAGTGTTTGCTTCTATGGTCCTGCTTTTTCCAAGATGTTGATAATGGGGCATTTGAATAGTTGCAAGAAAAAGGTAATGAAAAAGGGATCCATTTCTCACAGCCCTCGCTGGCTAAAAGACAAAATGTAGCTACCCTCATTGATCTTATAAAGGCAGTTTATATGATTAAAGAATATATAAGTTTGGGGAATACTATTGGTCAAAAGTCAGGAGGAAACATTCATATTGAAGTTTAGAAATTTAGGTCAAGGAGTGGTAGCAGGTCATTTATGAACCATTAGATTTTTTTAAACTAATTGCCAGCATAATATTAATCATTTATATATAAATTATATATATATATATGTGTGTATATATATATATATATACCGAATTCTTTTTTAAGAGAATAGTTTTTCCAATCTGATATTAGAACTCTGGGTTCTCTCTCTCTTACAAATACTTCTATAGCATTGTCATTTTAAGAAGTCACTTAAATTCTCTGTACCATGTTTTTTTTTTTTTTTTTAATTTTTTGTTTATTGCAGTAACATTGGTTTATAACATTGTAAAAATTTCAGGTGTACATCATTGTACTTCCCAAGTGTTTAGTGGGGATAATATGACCCTCCCAGGTTATTGCTTCATAGTTCAATTCTATTTCATACATTAGTCAGCACTCCCTGTGTTATAGGCACTGTGCTGTCAGGAAATAGAGATAATAAACTAGTCTTGGCCCTGAGGAGTGCACGTTAGAGAGACAGACACATGAGCAAACACGTTTCCATACAGCGATGGGAAAGAAGATATCACGTATGAGAGTGAGGGGAGAGACAAGCGCTTCGGGGCCCAGGGGAGGTCAAAGAGAGCCCCCTGGGAGTAGTCATGATTGAGCTGGGTTGTAAAATCATTAAGAGTTTCTCAGCAGCCTAGAAGGGAAGAGCGTTCCACACAGAGGGAATAACACGTGCACAAGCATGGCAGCCTCATGGTCTGTTCAAGGAAAGCAGTTAGACACCTATGGTCTGGTGAGGGCTGAATGAGATCATGTACTCAAAAGAATCTGAAAATTTTACCCTTTGTAAAACCAAAAGTCAAGTGTATTTTTCTTTGAATGTCATCAGCATTTTTTAAATGACAAAAAATAAGCCAAATGTTAATAAGCACCAGCCTAGCAGTACCTGAATATTGTTTCCCATGAAGCCCCATGGTCCACGAAAGCATGGCATTATTTAGGGGGTGTGACTCTGGGACCATCATTCACAGCAACTACCAGGTGACTACTGTTCTGGCCTGAGCCTCCCTTTCCAGGGCTATGGTTGAGAACAGAATGAGCTGACTGTATTGCTTTTTGCTGGCCTTGGGCTCTTTGAAAAATTGGGAAGGTTCTGGGATCATTTGTGCTATAGCAGATCCAGATTTCTCACAGATCCCCTCCACCCACCGGTGCTCTTGTGGGAAACTCTAAGGGTGGTGGGCACTGACAGAGGGCAATTTGTTAATCTAAAATCAGAAAATGAGCACTGTTTTCACCGAGTGTGGGTTACTCTGCTATGCATTACAGCATTTGTTGCCTCACTCGCCTACTTGTAGCCCTGAAAACAGGATAGAGTGCAGGTTACACACCAAGACAGTTGACATGGAGTATTCGTTCTTGCTGTCCAAGTGGCAGAGCCCGTCATTAGGAACAACGATGCCTGCCAGTTTGCTGTCCATTCCAAAATGAGAGTCAGCATCACTCACAAAGACCAGGAGATGGAGGGAGTCGTTCCGCCAGCCAATCTTTTCCTACAGTGAGAAAGAAACATTTGGGTTGTATTGGCTAGAGAGGGGCATTTACTGAGAGTGGATCAATTATGATTGGACACATTCAAATTATAAAAAATATATTGCTGGTCTATTTTAGCCTTTTTCATCTATTTTGAGTTGATAATATTAATGTATTAAAAACATGAAATTCTATGGCATTTGCTTTTTACCGGATAACACTTTCAGATGATTTATGCTTCAGAAAAAACAGTTCCACTACAATCAGTATCCAGTTGATCTTGACTTTTACATAGTTAATTATTTTTACCTCCCAGCTTTCAATTTGCCAGAAAAATGAGGACAGAGAGTGAGCGAGGTCCTAGATTACCCAAAATCCAAGCTGAAGCAAAACTAGTAAACAGGCAATGCAAAATAAACTCAAAGTAAGCCTGTTTCATTAAAACGTCACCCAATATTTAGGCACATATCTCTCTTTCTACTGATATTATCCAAAAATTATAAACGTAATACAAGGATAAGAACTGCTTATCAAAGTATAACCCCAAGGTACTGCTAATTAAAATGGTCTGTTGTCTGTTTCTTAGCAGAGCTCTCCCCTTTAATTAAGATTAGTCCAGGAACTAGTTGGACAAAAGCTCATCCTGGCTGTACCATCCCACCTTATCCTTTTCCTTCCTCCCCTAATTCCTTGGCCCTCCCACCTTCTAGGATCTTCAAGCCTGCCCATTTCCTGATATCTTCCATGAAGAGCTGTCATCTGAAGCCCAGGGAATCATTTCTGTGGATACATGTCCGATTGTCAAGGAGGTGCAGTGTTCCTGCATTGTTGTAGAGACATTGTGGATTCTGATCCTTACTTTGTTGGTTCAAAACAATAGATATCTAATCATATGTAGAGGTTTATACTGATTCAGGCCATTTTTACTTTTTTCATTAATTTCTGCCTCTGATTTTTTTTAATCATGGTTAATTCAAAAACTAATCTGATCTTGCTCTTTGGAAATTAATCATATGTGACTATTGTTTTAACTAATTTTTCTCAATACAACTAAAATTTTATTAGATTACTTGAATATTAGGCATAAAAAACAGTCCCCATTTCAACATGATTAAAAATTTAACAGAAATTTTGTGTTTTAAGAAAGGTATCAAATGTAGAAGTATGGTGATTAAAGGAAAGATAAAATTAGCTAAGCTTTTCAAAGTAGATTTGTTAATAAGAGATGAAACTTGTGTTAAGAGAGTGAAACATTACTCCCTCAGCCTACCTTACACACAGCAGCTTGCATAATTGCATCAAATCCACCTTCGGGTGTGTCAATATTAGCAGAAATTTTCTGATTCTTCACAATTTCATTAAATCTTTCAGCATCATTTGTCAACGGCAAAATGTGCTTGAATCCAAATGTAGGTAAGCAGAAATATGGAATACTACTGCAAAAGTAAGATGTGAAAATATTCTTGATGAAATATGATACAACACACTACATTTCCTTAACCGAAGATGAATTTTTCTAAAGTGCCTGACTCTGTAACTTGGCTATGAGTCTCACTGTTAAGGTTGTTTCATCATCTCCCACCCCACCCCCCTTCCAAATTGACCATATTAGCTATCACTTAGAGCTTATCGTGTGTTTTGCATTGGCTCAAACTCAGATAACAGATAATCAGGTAATCAGACTCCACACTTCTCTGTGTGTGTATGCGTGTGTGTGTGTGTACTCACTACCTTCTATTGTCTCTCAACCAAAATCCACCATTAAGTTTACATGACGACAACAATTTCTTTGTATTCTGATAGCCTAAGCTGTCATCAAGTGTGAGTCACCCTGTAGCAAACCTGAGAGACAAACCTGTCTTCTTCCTCCTCTGCTCCCTCCTGTACTCCCAGCCCAGCCTGGAAAGGGCCCACAAATCAGAGCAAGGCTCTTGGTTCTACAGCCCAACTCTACTGTGACTGAACAGACTATTGTGGACCAGCCTGGGAATAAAACCATCACTTTAACGTTTTACATGTGGTGAAAACGCCATGTTACGATGAGATGTTCCTCAAAGATATTGCAGAGGAACAGAAAGAGCTGATCATGAATTCAGCCACATCTTATTCTGAAAGCCAGGTAGTAGCTGTGCATGAGACTCTGGTCAAATTACCAAGCCTTCTGAGTTTTGGGTTTTCATTTGTAAAATAGAGATAACAGTATAGAGCAGAGGCTCTCAAAGTGTGGTCCCTGGACCAGGAGCATTGCATGGGAACTTGTTATAAACGTAAAATCTAGAATACTACCCAAGACCTACTGAGTTAGAAATGTTCGGGGTGGGCTCAGTGATCCGTGTTGTACCAAATCTTCCTCATGGATGCTAAAGTTTGAGAACAACTGGTGTAGAAATACAGAGGCAAAAAGGAGTAGTGTCCAGTGAGGTTGTGGTGTGCTGCCTGGGGAGAGCCGGTTGACTCCTGTAAGAGCAGCTTTGCAGGCTCAGCAGCTTGTCTTGTCAGCACATGAAGAGCTGGTGCATCTTTTAGGGTCAGCCTCCTGTTCACCAAATTCACCTGCCTGCGGTATATAGTCAATCCTCATTATTCACGGATTCCATATCTATGAATTCACCTACTCACTAAAATTTATTGGTAACCCTAAAATCAATGCTCTCAGTACTTTGATGGTCATTCATGTTCATGTGCAGAGTGGCAAAAAATTTGAGTCACCTGATATGCACGTTCTCACCTGAGGTCAAACAGGGTCTGCCTTTCTGCTTCAACTCTCACACTGTAAATGAGTGTTCTTTACATGGTCTGTTTAGTGTCATGTTTTTTTGCATTTTTGTGCTTTTTGTTGGTGATTTCACTGTTTAGCATAATGCTGAAGTGCTGTCTAGCGTTCCTAAGTGCAAGAAGGCTGTGACATGCCTTATGGAGAAAATATGTGTGTTAGATAAGCTTTGTTCTGGCGTGAGTTATAGTGCTGTTGGCTGCGAGTTCAATGTTAATTAATCAATAATATATATTAATTAAGGTGTCTTAAAACAGAAAACAAAGTTATGTATTGATTAGTTGAGGAAAAAAGTGACCAGAGTCTCACGGGAGCCTAGCCCTGTGTTCCTCGAGGAGCAATGGTTCAGCATTTGCTAATTCAGTGTTAGAGGAAACTTACAGAACAAGACTCCCATGAAGGACAAGAATTAATGATACACACAAATCAGAATGACTGTGGATTCGTTCACACTGAGAAATGGAGCTCTCCTGGGACCAGAGTCCCGGTGTCTGTGAGGGTAGTCATTTTCTTCCTGTCAGTAGACTTTCATGGAAAGGAGGTCATGATCTGATGTGTCCTCAGGCTTCAGAACAAGGGGAATTGGAGGACCCCAGTACTGAATGGTACAGTCTGAGATGTTTCCAGAATGGATGCTGTTGGTCACACCTGTCTCCTCCCCCATCTGTGGTCGGATTCTTCAGACAACAAAAGTTTGGGAAGCTCTGGCAGCCAACGGAAAACTCCAGCAGTGCCTTGGCTAAGGCTCTGGGACGGAGGTGGCCCATACTTGCGTCTATGACCCTGTCTCTCCTCACTCCCCTAATCTACCAGGCCTGCTCATCCTTTCGGCTGTGACGAGACACCTGGCTGCTGGGCCCAGGAGCCAGTCTGTCGCTTCCAGGGAACTTTTCATATTTCCTTTCTGATTCATTATGTTTAACTTTAACTCTCAGAAAGCAATGCTATGTTTTTATCTTTAATATCTCGCATCAGCTTTCATTGAAACTCTGAAGTACTGACCACAGATAGTATCTACCTAGTAGGAGTGTTGTGAGGCTTGAATGAGAGAAAATATGCAAATCATACAGCACAATGAGCTTTTCAGAGTAAGTGTTTACTAAACATTAGTGTCATTTCTTACATAAATCACTTCACTCAGAGTCTAACACAAACCTGCGGACAGATTATAAATTTGGCTAATGATATCTCTAGAATCATATGGGTTTTTTCCTGATTAAAATAATAATGCATGTTCATTGAAGAAAATTTGGAATTTATATAAAGAAAATGAAAATATAAATTTTAGTGATTATTAGATATATCATAGTTTATTTGATCATCTCTCTACTACTGAAAATTTATTTCATAAATCTTTCTGTAATTAAATAATGCAGTGATCCTTCTACAGACATCTTTGCAAGCTATGCTGTATCTTTGCTTAGAATAAATTCTTTGAAGGGGAAATGTTGGGTTACCTTTTGATCCATATTACCAGACTTTTTCCCAAAAAGTTTGCATCATTAAAAAAAAACAACAAAAATTGTACCTGCTGATTAGTTAAAATGGCATCAATTTAATTTTTAATCTCCATTTTGTTACCACTAAGACTGAGCACTTGTCCATATTGATTGACAGTTGTATTTCTTCTTTTGTCAATTGCCAGCTTATATTCTTTGCTCATTTTCTTATTGGGATATTTTTTATTTTCTAACTTAATTCTAAGAGTTCTGTCTTATAATATTAAACTTTTGTCTTTTAGTTTGTCTTTTAATTTTGTTTATGATACTTTTGGATATATACTTTACAACTTTTTATATAGTTAAATTTTTTCCCGCTTTCAAATATGAGATGTATTTAAAGAGTTATACGAGGAAGAGATCTATTTTTTTAACAGTTAACCCATTAAATGACAATAATGTAGCATTTGTTCTAATTGCTCCCATAGTATTTAAAGTAGCTATGGGGTGAAAGAAAATGTATTAGATTTAGAATAAAAAACATTGAATAGTTATCTATCCTTGGGCAAGTTACTCAACACCACTGCGCCTCAGTGTCCTCATCTGTAAAATGAGTGATAATACCTAGTTCACAAGGTTCCTGTGAAGATTGATGAGATAAAAAGTATATAACTGTGAGGCATACCACTATCCCTGGAACCTAACTATTCTTGGAAGTTCTTAGTTTATTCTTTTATTTGGGGCTATTGGTTCACACTGTACCAAAATGGCATTTGAGCATCTTTTGAATCCAGAGAACTAGCATTCCTATCTTTTTGTAAGAAACTTGCATCTTTGTTGGTTAGAATTATTCGCTGTATAGATCTTACTAGATCTCTATGCTTTTGGAAAGTGGAATGAAATTTTAACTTAGTTCACTAAAGAAATTCATGTGCTAGGAGACTAATCGAGCTAATGCAAAGTAGAGTGTCAGGGCTGGGTCACACCAGGAAATGTTGAGTGGAGACCATCCCTGTTTTGGCTAGAGTTCTTCCTCTAACAGATGCTCATATTTGGTCGTCACTTTCTTAGCATAGCAATTGAAAGAAGTAGGTACTCGTCACCAAGTAACTTGATTTTGAGTCCTTAGACAACAATAGATTTGCATTTAAAATGCAGGATAATTATGAAACACAATATAAAAAAGCATTAATTATATTTTTTGTTAAAATTTTAAATAAACATTCATAAAATAAGACTATAATGATATATATGAAAAGGTTAACACTATCTTTTTTGATTGGGATTAGAAATACTTTCCATTTTCTTCTTTTTGTCTGTATTCTCACATGAGCCTGTAATTACCTTTGTAATAAGAAACTATATTCATATATGTTTATGTGAGCATACCTGTAGAAAATCTAAGCATTTCATGGTTCAGTTTCCTCTTTTGCAAAATTACAATGAATTCCTCACCATTGGTGCCAAACTCAAAAACAAAACAAAATACCATAGAATATATGGAATGATGTTTAAAAAAATCCATCAAAATGTCTGATATAGGCAGAAAATTTAATCTTTGTGCTGTTAAGTATTTTTAAATGCACGTTACAACTCATCTATAAATATGAGAATGGAGAAAATATTTTTTGTTGCTATATCTTAGACACCAGCATAAGGGAAACTTCTTTCAAAAATGTAAACCACTTCAGCAACCTGTCATGGTGAAATAAATTTTTAGTTACCCTCCACGCAACGAAGATAAAGAAAGAAAGCTGCTCCAAAAAAATTAGAGATTAGATTAAAACAGAAGTTTTAAAAGTGTGGTGCGCAGACCCCCAGAGGTCCCCAAGACCTTTTCAGAGAGTCCTCAAGGTCAAGTATTTTCACCATAATAAAAGATGTTATTTGTCTTTTGCACTGTGTTGACATTTGCACTGATCACGCAAAAGCAAGGGTGAGTAAAACTGCTGGTGCCTTAGCACCAATCAAGGCAGTGGCACCAAACTGTCTGGTAGTCCTTATATTGTTTTACCAGCAAGCATTCACCACTAAAAAAAATAAATAAATAAAAATCCTAGTTTCACTTGATTGTCCTTGATAAGTAGTAAGAGTTATTAATTTTATTGTCTACACCCTTGAATACATGTTTTTAAAAATATATTTTCCTGTGACCACCTGGGAAATCTGCATACAGCATTTCTGCTGCACGCCCAAGTACAACCTTTCTAGTGGAAAAGCACTT